AGGTCACGTGGGGTCTAGCAGCTTTTCATTTCCTGCTGTTACGTTTTGTCTGCATCCCTCTGTTGCTTTAAATTTCATGGCTCATTTACCAGAGCCAGACACTTCATTAGTAATAAGCCATCATTACCAAAATATACAATATCAAAACCAATATTTCCATGTCCTACTGGACAGATCTCCTGGTAGCCATTCACTAACATTTCCTTTCTTGTGTCTTAACACCTCACATTGTGGCAACTTTACAGGCTAACATTACATCATCTCGACACACTATGAGCAACAACCAACTCGGCAGCCTATAATCACCTGTCGACACCCAGCAATTATCAATTTTACCGGTGACATTGTGTTCGGATATACCCAACAATCAACTGATAGAAAAAGCATGGCCAACCCTCCTAACATAATTAAGTAATTTACCAATCCTCACCCCTTCGTACAAATGAGAGGTGAGGAGAAATCACTACTTTTTTTTTTTTTTTTTTTTTTCCCCCCACAATCCAACCAATACTATTCAAGAAGTAAAATCTCTCTGCTTTTAAAGCTATTGTAAATATCAGGCGGCTTCCAAAATCTGATTTTAATTTTCATCTGTCACTTGTCTTGTCAAAAATGTTTGGGGAGTTTTAAAACCTTGTAGTCAAAATGATTAAAGTATGTTGGTTCTACTCCCTCAATGAAATGACCTTCTTCACCCTTCTCGGTTTGATCATGCTATTCTGTGTCCTTAGGTTGATTTTCTGTTGGCTTCTCCTGAGGTGCGTCCTTAGCCATGGCATTAACCATGACACACAGTCTTGTCCTGGTCACCAATTATAACATGCCTAACCCGGCTTGATCATGGGTTGTTCCCATGCTGGTCAACTGATGGTTATCTACTGATCACTTCAGTTCCTAATCTACCTTGCCTACATTGTGTTCTTTGATCACAGCACTGAAGATCAAAATTTTATCCATACTTGAACACTGAATCGAGTTAACAGAACCGTGCTGCAAAAAAGGACAAGAATACTTCCACCAGTGGAAATACAAATATCATAGCAAATAACAAAGGTCACTGGGTTAATTTTCGATTGGTTTATATAGTTGTTGATACAACAGAATTAACACTTTCCATTAAACTTTCTACCATAACACTTGCTCTCTTGCTTCTAAAACTTGGAGCGATTTAAAACATTCACACCTCTTGTGGTACTATCTCTGTTTAATCTCCAATGTCTTGATTCAGCAATCTCATCAGATATAAACCTTTTGGCAAGAAAATGGCCCTCATCTACAATTGTCTGGACAGTTGTACTGCTTGATAGATATTTTTGTTTTAAGTTCTTTGGCAAAGAGATGCTTTGATACACACATTACTTGAGATACCTTTTGTGTGGCAACCTCTAATCCATACAGCTCAATCACATACATTCTCACCAATTTGAGCTGACAAGTTTTCATTTTCTGCTTCTAATATCCAGATGGATTCATTTTTTTCTTTAATTGTATATCCAGCACTTGAATTGATTGATCAATATTGTTCAGCAATTGGCATTTTTGTGCAGTGTTTTGTTTTTGTTTTTGTTTTTTTTCTATACTTCATTAAGGAAAAGTCTTTTTGTTTTCACTAAGTTGTTTTAGATACTTATTATTAGACGCTAATTGTTCTAATTTAACATTTTGAGTTAAGTTTCTTAAACAAGCTTGAAATGCATTTTTTTTTTTATTTTTATTGCTGACTACTGCGCAAATACTGCAGATTTCTTCATCTCTCTTGTTGACATTTTGTACAGAATGTTCAGTTTGTTTTTTTGAGATTATTCAAATGTGATTTAACTTTGGAAATTTCATTTGATAGTTCTAATTTATTTTTTTTATTTCATACTGTAGGAGGTTGTTGGTACTTTTAGTTTCCTTTTCTCTTGTGTCCCTCAATTACCAATCAGATTTTTTTTTTTTTTTTTTTTTTTTTTTAATCTTGGTTTAACATGAAAATTTGCATGAAGAATTTCTAAGTTGGTAAATCCATAGCACTTTCTCCTATGGATAGTTGCTCTGAAAGTCAGTGATCTACTAATTTTTGATCTGTGGATTTATTTCTGTTAAGTTTGTGCATAAATTCTGTATAACATTTATGGCACATAACTGTCTGATTTTAAATATTTATGCACCTCAAGAACAACTCCATTATTTATAGTTTTATATTGAACTGAAATATTTCCCTCATCAATATTGTGGCAAGTTAGTTTCAGTGCTTCACAGTTCGGTCTTGGGTATACATTTGCCATTGTAATGCTAGGAGAAAAAATTTGGTAAAGAATGTATTGTAACAATTTTTATATTTTTAAATTAAAACTTAAATCAAAATTATTGTGTTGCACAATGCAAAAATAAAATGTGCTTCTTTTGCTCAAGAGTTATTCAAAAATATTTGTTTCTTGAACTTTTCAATTTTTTATTTATAATTAAATCATTACAGTTTTAGTTAATAACAATGTCACATTGGCTTTCCAAGTTTAATAATAAATAAATTTATAACATTGATAAATTAAAATGATGAAAAGGAAAAAAAATTATTTTTTAGCTAAAAAAATATTTTCACTACACAAAAAGTGAAGAAAAGCCATAAAATCTTAAAAAGGAATATCTTAGTTTTATTGCTTTTTTATTATAGAATTCATGGTAGATTTTCTGCAAACTTGTAGTTTTTCCTTGTAAATTTTAATGATTTTAATTCTCCAAAGACTTTAAAGAGTTTTTTGTGTGTGGAGATTTCATGACCTTAAAAAACAGACTTTAAAACGTATTTCTACAAAATTAAAGCTAGCTCCTGCAAGGGGATAGGTCTTGATTAGGCTTTCATCACAATAGGTAGGGAGAAGTAGATGTGATAGGCAACAATAAATTACAAAACTCAAAATTAATCGCTGCATTTAAGTATTGCATTAATATTTAAGCTTACCTTTTAGAAAAAGAAAAAAATTTTGTCAAAAAAAATTGTTTTTTAAAAAAAAAAAAAAAAAATCACCAGAAACAATCACAGTAATGAAAACTTGGGGATCCAAAATTTCAGGATTGCTGGTCCAGATTCGGCCCAGAATGTTTTTAACTTGCTCACAGTCGGCCCGATTCCAAAATGGTATGATATATTGGGCTATGGCCTCTAGGAGTGAGATTGAAAAAGTGTGAGGCAGTGACATTCGCATTTATTATATAGATGTAAATTGTGTGTTGTTGTTTTTTGTTTTTTTAACTAGCTTTTCATAATATCTATATTTCAATATATATCAAGTTTTTTTTTTTTTTTTTCAAGCACAGTTGTATATAATATTAGTCAAATAATTACTCCAACAATTCAGTCCATCCAAAAGACCACTATTAATTTTACTATTGTCAGCTATATAGAGCCTCATTTAATGAAATATTATTTTTCAAAATAAGTCAAATTCCTTTAAAAATGAGCAGATATTTCATAAAATTTAACATTTTTAAAACCTTTTTAGCATGAAATTGTTCTTAAATATTTGTGCAGAAATTGTGGAAAAGAGGAACTAAATGAAAGAGCCCCTGACACTTTTGTTTATTAGCTCGTAATTTTTAGTTTTTCCAAAAAAATTGAAACTTTAACAAAAAGCCTAACATTAAAACATTAGCAAAATTTTGAAAATTATATCTCAAAATAATTCTGAGACTAATCTTCTATTAGTGAGATTTTTACACACCTACATTATAACCTTTGAAAAAACCTCCATTAAATTTGCTCAGTTGTGTTTTCTCTTCCATGGGTCAGAGAAGGAAAAAAACAACTTCCTGGTTGTAGTTTAAGGTGTCTGCTGATTGGTTGTAAAATTTCAAGATTATTAGCAAAGTTTGACCACTTTGCTTTTACAAAACAAAGTAACGTGCAAAATTGAGTCTTGAAAACATTCATATTTCACATTTTTAGCTGTTTGAAGCAAAATACCGTTTTAACTCTCTGTAAAAAAAAAATAATTCAATGAATAAAAAGCACATAAATATTACATATTTAGAAAGGTTATTTTGTTTTCTTTCCAATCATATATAAATATTCTTAAGATTGGAGTGTGAAATTGTGAGTTGAACGGGTTAGGGTGCAAATTTGTCAAATATCACACTATAACAGCTGATGGACTGGGAATGCTAATATCTGTTATTAAATTTTTAAATTAAAATTTTATAGTATTTTAAATTTTATTATTCTTTCAGAAAGTATCTTCAGACAAAGCTAATGTAACTAAAATTCAATAAAATAGATAATTGCTGAAAATATGTTAATTGTTAAAAAATTACTAGGTAAAATCAAAAAAAAAAAAGCATTCACTTAGATTTTGTAAATTTATATCAATTCTGGTCAAACATACTTAGCTTTCAACACAGTCTGTCAAATCAACATGTCAGAAAAACAAGACACCATGTTTAACAAATGCTTTTATACATTTTTTATGCTATAAGTAAGTAATATTTGTTTAAATCAGATTAATTTAACTTTAAACTTGCTAATTTTCCTCAAATAACGTATCTCAAATGTTTTATTCTTGGAAGATTCTTAAAACCAAGAATTGACTTTTGTTTACAAATGTGTCAAGTTGGCCAAATTTTTTTGAAAGCAACCAAAAATTTGGGATTTCAATCAATATAATTTCTGTTTGAAATACACCAGAGTATTTTGATTACTGGAAATAGTAAATTTAATCCTTTAGCTTTTAATTAAAAGTTGAAAAGAAAGCTTCAAGAAAGCTTTGCATTTATAAAAATTCAATTTAAACCATTGTATTGAAACTGAGTGGAGGTATCTCTAAAGTTCTTTGGCTATGCCTTCAACTCGCTTGTTTTGATGATTATTTATGAAGATTAAAGGGAGGATTATCCTCATGCCTTTTCATTTAATTTAAAGGCCTTCAACATTTTGTGGGAGGGGACAAGATAAGTAATTTTGAAATTGTCATTTCCCCAATGCTTATTTTACTTGACTTTTTTTTTCTTTTTTTTCTTCCTAGTGAATGCCCCAACAGACAGCAGCTGGTTACAAAAAAGAAACCTAGCAATCGAAAGAAGGATCAAAATAAGACTCGGAGGCAATACCTGCAAAGGAAGACTAAAGCTGTTTTACGGAGGAGCACTAGACACATGCAAAGGATTGGTGCAAATCAGTGTTGAGAGGTTGGTCTGTTTGTTTAATACCTTTCTCTCTTTAAATTAATTTCATGCCTGTTGGATACTAAGAAGATAACTTGATTACTTCAATTGTTAAGGCTAGTGGTCTTGTTGTTTTGAGCATTAAGCTTCTTTCTCTTGTTGGGTTTGTCCTGGATATAACAATAAACTACATCTGGCAGCAAGGCCTCTGATTGCGAGGTTTTGGGAACCGCCTCTTAATTGCTGTTGTTCCCAGGTCCACCCTGACCTGGGGTGGTAGCACCTGTTATGGGCAAATAGTTAACCCCCAAACTGGGATCAAAACATAAAAAATTCTATATTAAAATATCAGCAATATATTTTTCAAAAGCATGACTTGTGTCTTTCTAGGTGACAAATTATTTTCCATCCTGCACTCTCTCTCTCTCACAGAGATGAAACATTGCAAGCCTCCTCACTGCTCTACCACTATTTCTATGAAAAGTACTCAATTGAATTACATTCCTTGGTTCCACCAGTTCTAACCTTCATGGCTAGGACCTGCCATGTTATGAACATTGTGGTAAACCATCCTCATTATTTCCATTGTTGAGAAGTAAGTTCCACTCAAGCAGCAGATTCTCACAAACCACTGCTATATGGAACCAACTCCCGAGATGACCCAACAGCTGGTCGTTTATGCGCTCGGCCTTCTTCAGGTGGTTGGAATTTCGAACTGAACCCCAGTGATGAAAATAAAGGGTTCAGTTCGAAATTCCAACCACCTGAAGAAGGCGAGCGCATTAAACGCCAAAAACGTTGTGACAAATATGGCGACAAAGATGAGGACAATAGTCCGACTAATGTAAATACTGTACATAATACCTCATCTCAGAAATATAGACAAACTCCCAAGATGACGTTTTCCTGATTATTACAATCCTATCCTGTTCAAGTCTAGGGTTAATTTCACCACATACCTGCCTAAACTGTGCTTCTTACTCTAACTCTCTACCACAAGTAACTCCTGAGCCTTGTACAGGGTGAACCCCACTGTATAAAAAAAAATAAATAAAAATCACACCCCTTCAAGCAGCATTGATCATTAAAAGTAAGATAGATAAATCCACTTCTAGTGAGGTTTAGACTTTCTTCCTTTCCTCTTGAATTTGTATGACTAGAATACCATGTTATGATGTGAATGTGTTTTGTGTTACTGAGCGTATGGTGGCAGAACGAAGGAGAAACAATGAAAATTTTAAAAAATAACAATTGTATTAAAATAAGATAGAACAAATGAAAAATCAGAGTAGATGTCTCTTGTATGAAGAAAAAAAAGATCAGTGAAGTTGTGAAAAGCATCTGGTGAGGCATACAGAAGGAGTGGGAGGGTGAGTTGTGACTTACTGGAGTGATGATTTTTGGCAAGCTGATCAAGTCTGTTGTCTTTGGAGATGGGAAGTTGCTTTCCAACAAAGTCTGTTAACCTTGGCTTAAGAATGCCATAATTAAATTCAATAAATCTTATATTTTTAGATATTGTAAACAGGAGTACAGAACCTTAACCATGCTGCTAAACCACAATTTTTTTTATTTTAACTTTTTCTACTTGTATAATCATAAACAAAAAGCATATTTATGACATTAAGTTAGTTAATGTAATTCTAAACAATAAAATAAGAAGTTACTTGCAGGTTTTTATTTTGTTACAATTTTATTCTGGAATCCATGTTTTTCTTACATTAAAAGCTGCTTTAATGTGGAGAATATATGCATTTTAATCTTTGAATTTAAAATTTTGTACACCCTTGTTAATGGGGCCAGAAGTGATGGATTCCAAGCTCTGCCAACTTATGAATTGTAGTAAGACATTAGTAAAGAAAATATATATAGGATTAACTTTTTGAGCCAAATTAATTATGCTGTTAATCATGACAAACTGCCACGAACCCAAAATGAAACTAAAAAAGACTTTACCCCTGGTGGAACAATAAGATTTTAGATGGGCCTCTAGTTCTGGCTGTGACTTGCATGATGACTTGGCCTTAAAGATTGCTATGGGTTTCTGGGAAGCAATGGAGGTTATATTTATGATTAAATATTTCTACAAGCATTTTTACATCAATTTACATTTGAGCTGGCTAGATGTAACCATAAATCCTATGCTAACAGTTTCTTTTCTTGCTTGTGGAACTCCCCTCCAGCTTCATGCTTTCCAGTCAACTTTTTATTTATTTATATACTTTAAAAAAATTAGTATCTTCATTTGTGATCTACATGGTAAAATCAGTTTACAGTTATGCTTTGACACTGACTAGACTGCTCACGGCAAAACATTATGGATTATCAAAATGACAGTGGGTGCTGACAGATGGGACATTCTGTTTCTGAAATAGTGACCTCAAATGTTCCCTCAGTTTTCATATATGTACTGGAAATACTGAAGGAGGGCTTTACCTCTACCCTTTGTAGACGAGACCTTGGCTAATTGTTTATACTTATTGGTCATGATTGGGGATGTGTGTAATAACGGGGTTCAAATCACGTCCACATTCAATGCAGGCGGTCCTCAGCAAATATACTTACTCTTTAGCTGCACTAGATAAGGAAGCAGAAGAGCTGCCCACTCTTTATAAACACTAATTCCCATACAATCACCAGTTAAGCAACATTGAACCTGGTCAGTACTGCTTGGGAATACCAGGTGCTCTAAGCTTGGATGTGTAGGTGGTATAATGGCTTGGGATTGTTAATCGGAGAGCCAATTTCCAATTCCAGTTTGGTTTGTTATATTCACTTATGCACAAATACCTTTGGGAAAGGTATGAATACATCTCTTCTCCACCCAGCTATAGTCTATTAGTAAGACTTGTATCACTAAATCTTTCTCAAAAAGAAAATTCTTTTTTTCGTTTCTTTTTTCTTTGCTTTTTTTTTTTTTTTTTTTTTCTTTTTCTTTTTTTTCGTTTTTTTCTTTTTGTTTCTTTTTTCATTTTTTTCGTTTCTTTTTTCTTTTTTCGTTTCTTTTTTCTTTTTTCATTTCTTTCTTTTTTCGTTTCTTTTTTCTTTTCGTTTCTCTTTCTTCCTTTTCTCTTTCTTTCTCTTTCCTCTTTTCTTTTTCTTTTCTTATCTAAAAATGTTTTCTAGCTTTAAATAACCTGCAAAGGTGTATAAAATGAATCCATCAAATCAACTCATGAGATCACAACTTTGACCCTGGAAGACTGGTAGTGTGTGTGTGCACACATTTTGTTTCTTCTGTGTGTTTGTTTCTTCCTGTTGGTATGGCTTAGATGTACAGACCCTTATGAGGCAGTTGGCCACATGTGTCAATAAGGCCCTATATAAGGTTGTGAGGGTTCCATAATAGTGGGGTGAGTTTAGTCTATCATTGACCATTGTGTTGCACTAGCTTGCAATCTTCATGAACGACAACAATAACAATAGGTTATTCCAGTAGAATAACATGTTATTGGTCCTAAGTTATCAAGAATTGATTATTTGCATGCAAGATATTGCACCTACAGATATTGGAGAGTTGTAAACAGCTATATTAAGACAGTGGGACTCAACATATCTCCAAAGGTGTTCCATAGAATCTAGGCTGTATAGAGCAGGGCTGTGGAGTCAGTTGGAAGCCATTAAGCGACTGGTGTCAGTTAGACTATACCAACTTTGACTCAATTGAATTTACACTTTGTAAAAAGTCTTACATTATGGAATTTTTATTATTTCTTCTACTGTATATTTACTATTTCCTTGAAAAAGATTAATCTTCTTTTTTTAAAGTCATTTTATTTTTTTTCAGTTATTTTGTATTTATGTAAAAAAAAAATCTTACATTATAGAATTTTTGTTTTTGTTTTTTACATCCTGTAAAAGATTATATTTCAACTTCTGTTATAAAGTAGTTTTATTTTTGTTCTGTATTTATTTCTTATTTGCACATTTTATATATATATATATATAGTCTTATAGTATTTTTATTTCTTCTATATCCTTTCAAAGATTTTGTCTCTAATTCTGTTAGAAAATATTGAAGAATGAATAGATATGACATAAAAGCCATATCTTTATCCTTTGATGTAAACCAGTTATGATATAGGCCTACTCAAGTTAGGAGCATATGCATAGGCTTTGAGATTTGTAGGCCATAATCACTTACATGAAGAGGGGTTGGAACTAAAGGTTTTGTGTTCTGTATCTACGACTTTGGTGTATAGTTGCTGCACTTGCTGGATTAAAGGGAGCACCTATCCTATAACTTTTGACATATCGCTCTGTATGTATGTATAAATCATCAGATGTCACACACAGAAATCCTTCATTACAAGTTATACAGCATTCTTATAATAAATATTGCTAAAGGTGCCTAACATTGCCACATCTGTGCATGACAATGTAATACGCTAGCAGGACTAAAGTCTCATCCATGCTGCCCATATCTGAGGATGGATCATGCTATAACTTGCTTGAAATAGTTGCAGACAGCTTTTACACAGACACACATTTTTCTGTCTAAAATAAAGAACACAATTCATTCCATCTGCACAATTTTAAGTTAGAAAATATATTAGCTAACAAGTATTTACTTGCTTAGTACAGCAAAATCATTAATCCAAATAGAGTTGATTACAAATTCTAAGTGTTAAAATTTTTCTTTTTCTTTCTTTTCAGTTCTGCAACCTGTTTGAAAAGAAACCTGTGATAATATCTGCTGACTTTAACTGTAAATTTTCTTTCTTGATACTTTATTAACTTTAATTAGATATGAATCCCATTTGGAAATGTATTTTTAAAAAGAAAAAAAAATTACTGCTTTGGCCATCCTCTCATGTCTTACTGTTACAAATTCAATTTTTTTTTCTCTCAACCATCTTCAATTGTTATCTTTTTAACCAAATACCTCAGTCTGATTGACTACCCCTCTTTGTATGAGTCAGAAAAAAATCCTCTCCCACATTACCAGAGAAAGCATTTGGGCAGTTATTGCTTTCTTGTAAATCTTTTGTTCTTTATTTCCATATTTTCTGCTTGTCTTTATGTGATGTAAGTTTGTCAAAAGATGACTAATCACTTCACCTGAAGATGATCAGTGATTATGTTGATTAAAATAACAATGCTTGCTCTAATATTAAGAGACCAGCTTTTCACAATGATTCTTGTTTTTACTATTTTCCCCTAGTTGTTTTTTTTTTTTAATTTATTTTTTTATAAGTACTCTTGTAATGTTGCCACCCCTCCCCCTCCCCAGTGCCTAATGCAATGCATTTACAAATGCAAGCCGTTTTTTACTCCTACCTCTAACTTTGGGGGGTGGGGGTCTCCTTGGATAAAACTGAATTTTCATTTTATTCCTTCCTCACCCCAATCGTTCTGACACCATAATCCTGTCATCTCTTCTCACTCACACCTGGTAACTCTTATTTATATTACTAGATACTCTCTTGTCGCCACCCCCACTCACCAAAGAAAATTTTACTTTATGTATTAAAACAGTTTTACTGAAATTTATTTTCTCCTTTTTATTTGTTTCATTTCAAAGATCTTTTCTGGAAGCATAATTTCCAAACATTTTATCCAAATTGACTCAAAAAAAAAAAAAAATTGAGGAAACCAAATTTACATATGATTTTTTTTTTTTTTTTTTTTTTTGTGTGTGTGTGTGTGTGTGTTTCACTTTTCATTACAATGCTTGTTATTTGGATCAATAAGTCTGTGGCTTATCAGTGATGGACTAGGTTGTTTTTTTTTTTGGGGGGGTATTTTTGGTTTGTGTATAATTTTATTATAATTGTTTTTATTGTTTTGTATAGTGAGGATTTTTTTTTTTTTGCTTTGTGTATGATTTTATTATAATTGTTTTGTATAGTGAGGAGTGGGTATAGTGGAAGGTTGAATTTATTATTGGTTAGGCTGTTTTATTTATTGGAAGTGTGTAGAAGTGATTTAGTGCTTTGCTACATCCTTCTCAAACACACAATATCTCCTAATACACACGCAAGTTAACCAACACAATAAAAAGGTTGTGATTCAAACGCTAAACAATGTACCCATCCTGACTCTACACAAAAATATTGTACCAATACACTTGATAGTTTAAAAAAAAAAAAAAAAACTTGTTTTCCTTTCAAAAGTGGCAGTTCATAGATATCTGGTGGATGGAGCATTTTTAATTGGATTTAGATCGGTGCTATTCAATGGCTGTGTAGATGTTTTACAAATCAGAATTTCTTTTCTCAACATTGAGTTATTCCATAGTATTTTACTCTACTTGGCTTGGAAACAAAAGAAATACCATTTAATTTAAATAATTCTTTTATTGTATATCTTACGAAGTCAGAATGTTCAGCTATGAAATTGTTTTGCATGTTAACTTTTTAATTTATAATAATATAAAAAGAAATTGTGGGTGAACTTAGTCCAAGTATTATAATTAGAAGGGGTTGTAAAATGGGATGACTTTGAAAACCAATGTGTTTGATTTTTTTTTTTTTTAACTGTCTGCATTGCTTTTTATCAGGATTTTCATGATGGAATTAGAACTTAAAATATTTAATTATAAGCATTGTGAAAATATATTTATTAATTATGGAAGACGGTTGGTGCTGTATTGGGAATTGATAACCAAGGTGGGAATTTTCCTTTTATCCTTTCCCTGCTTGTGGTTAGTAAAAATGTAATTCTCTCTACATACATATAAATCTATGCATACATAAGCAATATATAACTCACTCTCAATGGACTCCTGTTAGTTGCTTATTTCTAATAGTTTGCAGTTGCTTTTTTCTTCTTCTTCCCTGTTAAATACATTCCAAGTAACCAAGTTCTGTAATTTAAATTGTTTCTCCTTACATTGTTGAGACTTTCACATTCTGCAAAATGAGACATTGTTGTTTTTGTATAACTAATACGTATTGTATGTGTCCATATTCCTCGTTTTGTAGAGGATTCACTTCTGTACATATGCATGCACAAATAACATTTTAAAATTTTTTTTATTACAATACACTATTTTTGTATTAAGTTAGGGAGAAAGTTTTTTTCATATTCGAAACCTTGAGGAAAAAGAAAACTTCAAGACAGTTGGGGCTTTTTAATTTTTATTGAGTGTAAAGGATCAACAATTTATTTAAATTTTTTTTTTTTTTTTTTTTTGTCACTTAACCTAAATTAGCTGTATTAGTTTATTCAATATCCTCACCTACCCATATTTCTGTAGATGACTGAATCACCCCCACCCCCGTCTTTCATAGATGTATAAAAGTCCTTTTAAGGCCATTTCTGGAATTGGTATTGTTTTAATTTTTATGCTATTTGAAGCAACAGACTATTTCTCCTTTATACTATATAGAATATTAATACAGCCTTGATGGTCAATTTACTGATTGGTTGCTATCTCCTTTGTAAATTTTATGGGCTTTCATACCCGCTGAGTGTAAGGGAGCCTATTATCCTCCAATTGGGTAAAATCTGTCATGCTAAACAGATACAGATATTGACTAAAATATAACATAATACTAACGATAACATTTCACAGCCATGAAAAATATTACTTTCTCTCATAGTTGATTTCCTTAAATTTTTTTCCATTGGAATAAAAATAATGCACTTTGTTTTCTTTAAATTACTAACTTGGTGGTAAGAATAACTCTTTGATGTCTTCAGGAATTTTCTGAATATACCAGTCATGATTCTCCATGGTAGCTACAACTCCTGTCAGATTGGGCCGGGGTACATCTAAAGAATATCTGATTTTGTTTCCATGTAAATCAGTCAAGGTTCCACCCATGGCACGGAGGACACCTTCGGGGGCACAGGTGTCCCACTTCTTACAGCCTTTACTGGCAAATACATAGGCATGGGCAATACCCTCACAAACAAGGAGTACCTGTATGAGTAAAAGAAAATACTAATCAATACACATTTAAATGGTTATCCTTTTTCTCTGACATAGATTATTTATCTCCAATCACTCTCTACCATATCATCATAAGATGAAGATTATATATATATATATATTCTCTCTATTCTTTCTCTCTCTCTCTATATATATATATATATATATATATATATACTTTCTCTCTCTCTTTCTCTTCCTTTCTCTCTCTCCCTTATATATATATATATATATATATATATCTCCTTTCTTCCTCTCTTTTCTTTCTCTCTCTTTCTCTATTCTTTTTTCTTTCTCTATATATATTCTCTATATTCTTTCTCCTTTCTTTTCTCTCTCTCTCTCTCTCTCTCTCTCTCTCTTTCTCTCTCTCTCTCTTTCTCTCTCTCTCCTTTCTTTCTCTCTTTCTCTCTCCTTTCTCTCTTTCTCTCTCCTTTCCTTTCTTTCTCTCTCCTTTCTCTCTCTCTCTTTTTTCTTTCTTTTCTCTCCTCCTTTTTTCTCTCTCTTTCTCTCCTTTTCTCTTTTCTTTCTTTCTCCCCTCTTTCTCTCTCTCCTCTCTTTCTTTCTTTCTCTCTCTTTTCTTTCTCCCTCTTTCTTTCTTTCTTCTCTCTCTCCTTTCTTTCTTTCTCTCTCCTTCCTTTCTTTCTTTCTCTCCTTCCTTTCTCTCTCCTCTCTCCTTTTTCTCTCTCTCTCTCTCCTCTCCTTTCTCTCTCTCTCTCCTTTCTTTCTTTCTCTCTCTCTCTCTCTCTCTCTTTCTCTCTCTTTCTTTCTCTTTCTCTCTCTCTCTCTCTTCCTCTCTCTCTCTCTTTCTCTCTCTTCCTTTTCCCTCTCTCTCTCTTTCTTTCTCTCTCTCTCTCTTTCTTTTCTCCTCCTTTCTCTCTCCTTTTTCCTTTCTTTCTCTCTCTCTCTCTCTCTCCCTTCTCTCTCTCTCTCTCTTTCCTTTCCCTCTCTCTCCCCCTCCTTTCTTTCTTTCTCCTTTTTCTTTCTCTCTCTCTCTTTCTTTCTCTCTCTCCCTCTCTCTTTCTCTCTCTCTCTCTCTCTTTCTTTCTCTCTTTCTTTCTTTTTCTTTCTCTCTCTCTCTTTCTTTTTCTCCCTCTCTCTCCTCTCTCTCTCCTCTCCCCCTCTCTCTCCTTTTTCTCCTCTCCCCTCTCTCTCCTTTCCCTCTCTCTCTCTTTCTTTCTTCTCTCTCTCTCTCTCTCTCTCTTTTTTCTCTCTTCTCTCTCTCCTTTCTTTCTCTCTCTTCTCTCTCTCTTTCTTCCTTTCTCTCTCTCTCTCCTTTCTTTCTCTCTCTCTCCTTTCTTCCTTTTCTCTTTCTTTTTCTTTCTCTCTCTCTCTCTCCTTTCTTTCTCTCTCTCCCTCTCTCTCCCTTTCTCTCTCCTTTCTTTCTTTCTCTCTCCCTTTCTTTCTTTCTTTGTTTCTCTCTCTCCCTCCTTTCTTTCTTTGTTTCTTTCTCTCTCTCTTTCTTTCTCTCCCTCTCTCCTCTCTCTTTTCTCTCCTTTCTTTCTTTTTATATATATTCTCACTATCTCTCCTTTTATATATATATATATATATATATATATCCTTTTCCTTTCTTTCTCAATCTCTCCTTTATATATATATATTCTCTCTTTCTCTCCTTTCTTTCTTTCTTTCTCCATATATATTCTCACTATCTCTCCTTTTTATATATATATATATATATACTCTCCTTTCTTTGTCTCTCTTTCTCCTTTCTTTCTCACTCTCTCTCCTTTATATATATATATTCTTTCTCTCTCCTTTCTTTCTTTCTATATATTCTCACTATCTCTCCTTTATATATATATATATATACTCTCCTTTCTTTCTTTCTCTCTTTTATATTTTTTCTTTCTCTATATATATTCTCTCTTCCCTCCTTCTCTATATATATTTTTTCTTTCTCTATATATATTCTCCCTATATACTCTCTCTCCTTTCTTTCTCTTTTATATTTTTTCTCTATATATTCTCATATATATTCTCTATTTTATATATATATTTTTTTTTCTTTTTCTCTATTATATATATATATATATATATATATATATATTTATTTCTCCCTATATTCTTTCTCTCTATCATATATATAATCTTTCAAATGAGATGCCTACCTTATGTCCTGCACCTCCTACCCTTATGACTTCCGTAGGTTCACAGGCTGTGATAGCACCGGTCACTTTGGGGTCAGAATGTGATCGTGTTGTGGTAATGATGTTTTGGCCTTCTGGGGGAGATTTCTTCTGCAAACCATAAGCACCTATACAAAGAAATTCTTGAGAAGTCAAAGGGATAATTGGGGAATTCATGTTCACAGTGGCTAACAGGATGCCTTACCATAGGATAGTTGTTTATAACATTCACTCACTCTTCCTTACAAATGCAAAATGCAGTTCCCCTTTATTTACATACTTTATGTGTTCTACTAATCGGCAGGAGTTTACTATGTTCAAAATTAAATAAAATACATTGCCTTCTTTTTTTGTATTCCAAGTTAGAACATTTGTAATGGTCTGGGACCTGTACAAAGTGTTACAATGTGCTGTGTTGTAAGAACAAACCAAAAAACAAATCGGGGTCATTATTTAATAATACCATATTTTTTTTTTTTTTTTTATCTGCTACGTTCTTTAATAAATTTGCTCAATCTGACACAAATGTAGGGCATGTAGTGAGGACTGAAGGCACTACAATAGTAATGGCAGTTAAACCAGGTTCATGACATTTCTTGACAAGAAAAATAAATTCAGGACAAAGAATTAATTTAAATCCAGCTTACCCATGCCAACCATTCCCCAGATGCATCTGCCCAAAGTTCTTGGTGGCTGTGCTTGGTAATTGTAATAGGGTTGGTAAACAACACCACCTACTGCATTGCCATTCACAGAAATGCCGATCAGCACTGTCACATGGTCTAGTAAACCTGTTTAAATGGAAATAAAATTCATAGAAGCAAAAAGTACATTTGCAAGAGGTTTGGAAGGAAGTAGATTTAGTGTGATTTAATGTGCATATAATATCACCATTTTCTTTCCTTAACTTTATTTAATCATGGCTACTGACAATCCCTTTCAATTTATAACTGTGCAACTAGCATTAAGAAAGCAGTAGTAATAGAAAGAGGAAAAAAGGTGGTGATTTTGCTAAAACAGTTAAATTTTCTAGACAAAATTACTTAACTGCTTTTACTAAACATGCTCAATAAATGTCATCAAGATTTTTTTTTTTTCACCTGTCAAGACTTACTTTTAATCAATGGAAGCAATGTTATTTTTTATTATTCATTTAATCTTAATTTCAGTTGCTTCTTAACTCAGAATGTCATCAAACAACCAGTTAATGTTTCTCTCTTTATAAGCTTACTTTGCTATATATTGGGTTGGAACAAAATTTTTCAATGGTGTTGGGGTGGGGAGGAAGGTTCCATTTCACATGTTACTGCAATTTATTGCACATGCACACACCTGAAACATAACATTTCAGTGTCTTTACAAAACTTGTGTCGATAGTAAATTTTACATGTTTTTACATTAAAAGTAGTAGGAAATGGGATGCATTTTAATCATTTGATGCTTTTATTTCCAGAAAGGAGGAAAAAAAAAAACATGCTACAAAAAGCAAAAATTTGCTGTGTTCAGAAGCTGAAATTTTGTTCTGCATTACCAAGAATATCCTGACAAAATGTATATTAAAAGTAATCGCAGATATACTCCACTCTTATAGGAGTGTTGTAAGGTATTTGAAAACATCTGCATACATGAATTGCTACAATCTTTGGCTGCTTTGCCATTTAAGAAAAAAAAAAAAAGAATTATGCAAACCCCCTTCTCTCTATTTGCGATTATCTGTTGAAATTCATTAAAAATTACAAATTTTTGAAAAGAACTATCAAAGGCAACAAAAGATAGACAGTCGCATGAAAAAAAAAAAAAAAAAAGGTCTTAGAAATGAAATAAGTCACCGTTAATCACTCCAAGTTTCCAAATGTGATGTTGTGTATCTGGTAGGATTGGATGCAAACTTGCAAAAATCAGACAGTAAATCTAAACCTATACTGTTTCCAACAGATGCAATGGCAATCTTGAATTGGCCATCAGGGCAAATCGAGTTCTCGTGTCTCTTTGCAGAGACTGGTAATTTCATTCCCTACAAATTTCTCTTGATGGGAAAAGAGCTTCAATTTTCCTGGAAACTTGTACAAACCACTTAGACAAGTTCCTCAACCAAAAAGATGCAAAGTTCTGGGAGAATGGCATCATGAAGCTGCCTCATAGGTAGCTGGACAAAATGGTACATATGTATTTCAATAAATCTATGTACAAATTATCTAAATGGCTTTAAAATACACCACAAATCTTTTTCTTCAACAAATAATAATGTTGCACTATATTATGGATATATGATGAAATAAGTCTTATTATTAATTCAGCATGTATTGTGTGGTAGCTTCTCTTTAAGTACCAGGTCCTTTTACAACACATAACTATGGCTCACCACACCTTTTTTAATATTTGTAAACTGCACTTTTCTAGAGAAAAAAAGGGGGATTTTTTCCATTGTCTTATCAAGCTTGGAGTTCAGACTTGTCCTCCACGTATCTCATGAGTGCTGTAAGGCATTTAGATATATGAAAAATGTGTATGTTTGATCTTCTTTGGGTGATTCATGAGTTAATGGGGGGAAAAATACATCATACATTTTTTTTTTTATTTACTACTCTTATAATATGGAGGAAGTTGTAATGAACTGTTCTGTGTGGCCTGGATACCAATTGTTTGCCTGTAAATGTATTTATATATGATTGATATTCTAACAAAAAAAAAAAAAATCCTGATTATTTGAATGATAATGCTCCTGTTTGCCACTATATGTGACCCATGACAGTGGTTACACAACTTCCCACAATCAAGCACTGATGACACTCAACTCTCCAGCCAAACTGAAGGGGAAGGTGTTAACATCACTGTTCAAATGACATTGTTGAATAAAGATAATGTGTTATATAACACTAAACATATGAAAAAATATAAGATACATATCAGTTTACCTTGGGTGAACTCTTTTGTCCCATCAAGTGGATCAACCCAAACAATTACCTGTGTGAAAAAAAAAATAAATGCAGATTAAAATAACATTGATTTTGAAAAAATAAAATAAAATCACAATGTAACCCAACCAACTAATCTACGTTAGCCATAGAAATCTACATAATTAACATATTTATTAAAAACTGTCATAATTTAGTTTTATGACTACACAGATAGCACCAACTAAGAGGGAGATCTTCAAAGTTGTCTACAAATGTTTGTTGGTAGTGATGGAGTGGGGGTAGATAAAGAAAAACTTTCAGGATCAAGTGCCACTTAACCAAAAAGGAGAGTCCCAGAATAGTTATGAGCTAGCCATTAGGGGGTGACAATCTGTCCATCAAAATGTAGAGAGGGAAAGTTACAAAGCCTCATGTCGTTATGTAGAAATAGGCTGATCAAAGAGTCAGAGTTCTGTTACTGTGTTGTGAGAGAAGACAGAAGTAGCAGTGAAGATGTCCCAAGTATCATCTACCTACCCACCAGACCAGGTGAGTCCATGGATAAATAAACTAATATAATTAAAATAGGATTCATGTTTTGTTTTCAACTTGTTTTCCTTTTGTAAATAGACTCGGCATTTCCCAGTTTTGGGGCACACCAACACAGATGGGAACCAAAACAATACAGAGTGATTGGTCTCCACTGTGTGAAAGTCCCAGCCATATGTTAATAATTAGGACTGTTCGCCAAGATTTCAATTCACGTGAGAGATGCAGAATGGATGGGCAGAAGAAAATACAAATAAGGAAAACCTGCACAAACTAAAGAAAACAAAACCATGAGAACAGATACGAGAAAAGAAAGGAGAGACATGCATTAGCTTCACTAAAACATGCATGCTTGAGAATCTTTTTTTTTTTTTTTTTTAAATCCAACACTCAGAAAATACTACAATAACCAACAACAGAATTCCAACTTGGAGGTAGGGAATTATCTCTGTGTCAACAACCCCAAATTTTAAGTCTAAGCTAGGCTTTACCTAGTTTATACTCACACCAATACAAACAAAAAAACATCACTGTGCATTTTGGAGAACCAGTGAAAAGTTAAGCAAAGACCTACATTGTAGGATTTTATGTATCAGAATATAAACATGTTTCGAGTTTTAATTACTTGAGTTATGAGACATTTAAAACTCAGGATTTACACACAAATTAATTGTAAAACATGTTTATAATAATATAACTTGATTTTTGTATCATTAATGCTAATAAAACTAATGGATTTTTAAACCAATCATTACTCTTACAAGACAAACATGCCAAGTATATACAGCAGAGAAGTAACTTCCTCACACAAAAAGCTCAAGTCTTTGAATTATTTGTTTAAAAACAAAGTAAAACCCCATCCATTCCATCAACAGCATTTTCTTTGTTTTTATAAAAATAAACATGAAAATGCTATCTTTTTTTATAAAAATAAACAAATGAAAATGCTATGTCACTTTTGCCTATAAAAAGTTAGCAAACAAAATAGATTATTTCTCAGTCAATCAATCAGTATTCAATTACACAGAACTTGCCTTAACATCCTATAAAAAAAAACAAAATCAGTATCCCAACTAAAAACAACAGTGTTGTGTCCTGTCTGCAAGAATTCACATCAACTGTTATTTGATATGTTTTCTGCCAAACATTTAAATTTTTGCACAAATTAAAACCAACATTGTTATAGCAATGCAGCAACCAATTATTACAGCTTGTTTATAAACAAAATCAATCTGCCTTTCTATCTACATGGTGCATGCCATAACACCAACACATTTTAAAAAGAATTAAAAATTTAACATTTTTATTTAGGACAACTTTAAGATTACCAATCCTCACCAGACACACGTGTTGCAAAAGTAGATGGTGTAACAACTGAACATCTTAAAAGGACAAAAACTTACCTCGTTTTCTTTGACATTTTTCAAGTTATCAGGACAAGTTAAAGCGAGGACATCCTTAGAGAATTCCTTCTCCTGGATCTTTTCAATGTCAGAAGCATATGTCAGCTCCTGAGGAAAATGAAAAATAAAACGTGATGAGTTCAATACTCACAAGCACCTCAACAGGGACTACCAAAAACAAAGTAATCAGATTTTTGAAGCTTGAAACAGGCAGCAGGTTTTAATGAATTCAAGATGGGATTTGGAGTCTGGAGAACAATGTAAATAGACATTTTTTTTTTTTTTTTAAATATCTCTAAGGAAAAACCTTCATTTACTTTCTCGAGTTAAACACAAATCCAGCTTCTGCTTTATCTATTGCTAAAATAGTTGGGCAGAATAGGTTTTTTAAACTTGGGTGTCCACCAAGACAGCTCTGAATTCAAACCAAGTCCCAAGTATGCACAAAGGGGGGGAGAGTTGGATATGTAACTAACAACTCCACTCCTTAAAAATTTGTTGATGAAGCTGCAACAGCATCACCTGTAAAATGATGTTGTGACCCTATGCTCCACAAAGAGGGTAGAAGAATTAATTTCTTTCTTTTTGCAGCTTATTGGCCCTTCATGGGTTATTTAAAGCCAAAATATATTTCAGATTAGAACAATCTCCCCCCACACCCTTACAGTGAATACTGTATTAATTTTTAATAATAAAGGTCTACTATTTAATCCATAACTGAGCGAAGAAATGGATTAATACCTTTCCCCAAGGATATTTGTGCACAAGTGATTATAACAAACCTGACTAGAATTCAATTACTCATTTCAAGCCATTATCCATTAGTGTAGCAGGAATAATAATAATAAATATTATAAACCTAAGGGACTTTGCATATTTTTCAGTCCGACAACCTTATCTCTGTAACTTAGTAATTAAATATTCTGCAATTATGAGAACAGGAGACATTATTTGGTTCCAATGAATAAATATGCCATTAAGGGAAATCAAGCTTATTGCTTTTCTTTTCACCCTAAGAATTAGAACATGACTAAGAAGAAATCCAACATTGATCAGTGGTGTTCCATTTTACACTCGAATATGTAACCACTCTTTAAGGTCTTAACATGGATATATTGCTTGTTATGATGTAAAGTTGCAGAGAAAAGGAAATCTTTGATCTAAAGACTTTAATCTTAAATTTGGCAATTTGAAAATTTATATTCTATCATTTTCTATAACTCAATTGCACTTATATAAAATTTACACCTGATGCGGTCAATGCTGGGATTACTTTGTCGAAGGAAATCAACATTGATTATAATATATAAAAGATATGAAGAGAAAAAGACAGATTTATCAAGAAAATGTGGGTTATTTTGTTAATATTTTAGTTAATTCATATTTCTATCTTAAAATTTGCTAGACAAAGGAAGGGTTTTGTACATGCATTATATATATATATATATATATATATATATATATATATATATATATATGATGAACTTTTGTAAAAAAAATAAAAAAAAGGTTGAATTCAGTTTGTTTTTTTTTTTAAAACGTCACCCGCTAACAAAATTTCTAAAATTGAATACAAGTATAGTAGTAGTATGACTTTCTGGAGCCATCTAGAAATTTTTTGTTTATTTGTAAGTTTGTATATTATACTATAGCTATAAACTGTTGAATGTGCTAAAAACTACATAAGTACTATTCAATGACATCAGGAGCAAATTGAGAATAAAGCTTCTGAAATATTTTGAGTTTTTACCGTTATTGTATATATGGTAAAATTGAACTTTCGGCTTAGGGTGAACTTTTCAATACTTAAAACAAATCAATGCCTTTTTTCGTTACTTTTGAACAAAGGTTCAATTTATGACACAGGAACATAAGGTTACAAAAAGTCATAACCATTATATATATATATATATATATATATATATATATATATATATATATATATATATATATATAATATAAATATAATATAATATACAAGAAAGAACAGATAAAGTTACAATACCCATTTTTTAACATTCAAAAGAGGTGTAACAATTTATTTTCAAATTTCCCAAATAAAGCATTTGCATTATATGTTATTCTACCATTACCTGAAGAGGAAGGATTAAAGTTCCAAAACATAAAAGTTTTTGTGTTGTGATGTAAAATGTTTTTATTGTCAGCTATTATAATAAAAATATTTTAATAATAAATATAACAATGATGCAATTTTGATCTGGCTATGGTATATAAATGATTTGTGTGAGAGCTGGGAGTAGATATTCAGCTAAAATTCTTCAACCATCTTGTGATATAGTAACACTTATAGCAGTGCATCATCTGTGTCTGAGCATTAGACAGTGACACACGCTGCAATAAGGTTTAATCTGGTGAAGGACTCCAGTGCAAGCAAGTGTAATACAAATATGATCCTTCTGTTCAATTAGAACCATTTGAGAAGGGGGCCCTGGATTGTATTCTTTCAAGCAGGTCATTCCAGAGAAATGCATGTTGGACATGATGTTTTGATGGTGCTTTAATGTTGACAACAGTTGCCAAATGAAGATTCTTCCACCTGTAGACCAGGTTCTGGATGGGTACACAGTACAGATATTTGTCAAGATTAACCCATTGTAAAGGCAGCAGTGACAGACTACACCACACACACAAAAGAGATCAAAGAAAATGTGACCCTCAGAAATGACAACACAGACCATGAGGAATTATCTACTTGCAGCATACTTCTACAAGTGTATGCAACATAGATCTGGAAAGTGACAGCGTACATTGTGTCATGACACACAGGACTAATCAACCCCTTGGGACCATAGTGTTAGGCACCATTAATTAGAAAACAGTGCTATGTACAACTAAAACTGGTTCTCAACAGTTTTTTACCCATGGGCCACTTTTAGTTTTAATTTGCAGGGGGAACCAATAACCATTCAATTAAAAAAAAAAAAGTTTATTTTATTTTTTACTAATAGATAAGTTTAGGAATTATATTATAGAAATAGTAAATCTATATACTTTCTTCTAGCCACCGAAAACGAGTTACTTCCCCTGGTTGGCGGCAGACAAAAGGCAGGGTATCACACATGCTTTCACACATTGTATGTAGAAAATTGAAGTAAAAATAATTTAATGAAAACAAACTTGTATTTAACAACTAAATTCTATGAAACATTTATGCACTCTAATAAAAAAAAATTAAAAAAACATTTTAAAATATGTGAGTAATTTAATAAATTAAAAAAAGTGCAGATTTATTCAAGCACAACTACATTCGATGTGGTTGATGCTGTTCTAAGTTTTTATATTCAGCTCCATTGATATCATTTATAGCTGAAGATCGCCCAATGTCAAGTCTATTACTATATTATTTCATTAATATTTAAAATTAATATTATTTGTGTGTGTCTGTATATATATATATATATATATATATATATATATATATATTTGGTTGGATTGATGTGAGTTTGTGACCCTGGGTTTCACGCTTTTGCGATCGTCAGACAAACTGATTAATTTTTTTTAAATTTTGGGTTTATGTAGATTGCGTGTATTATTGTTATTATGGGAGTGGGGGGAATCGTCATCATAATGTCATTGTGTTAACGCAAACATAGATGCATGTTCATACACCCAATGAGGTATGCAGACACACATACACACTTGGTCGTTCATCGGGACTCATACACATATAAACATGTGGACAGTTTCAGATTTGACATATGTATGTATATGGGTGGTGTTGTGTCTATACATACGCATATATATATATATACACACACACACACACAGGAGGGCCTTCTTTAGGTGATTGGAATTCCAGACTGAACCCTTTATTTCATTCACCAGGGTAAATTGTTCTAGTTCCACATGCTGTGCCTCTTTCAGATGTCTCAGTATCTGTTATCTCCCTTTAACTCAACTCTCCAAGTTTTTGTTTACCTCTGCTGTAGCCAAGTATTGAACTCACAACTCTTTGGGTCAAGTTAGTAGATTCAACCAATGCTTTTATCTCCTTGGGCCATGTGTCTTTGAAGAATCTATTCCAGTAGACGAAATAAAGGGTTTGGTTCAAAATTCCGATCACCTGAAGAAGGCTGGAGTATACACATTGTGAATATGGAAACGGAGATGATGACAACAGTGGGTTAAATAGCCTCACCAATCCACAATTTGTCTTGTGTGGCAAGTACAGGTCAATCATGCAGAGGGTTCCTCCAAGGAGTGGATCTGGATTTGGTCTAAGGAGCTTTCATTCCTGGTATATTACTTGTAGGTTTCATCTTGTGTAAAAATTCAGAGTGGTGCAATTTTATTTTCTGTCAGGTTGCCAGATTTGATTACAAGGAGTTAATTAGGTTACATTTGAAATCGCAGTGCTACTAAATTTTGAAGAGACGTTCATATCATTAGTAGTCCCAACTTATTTTGAAGTATCCCAGAATGCAATTAAAAAAATTGTACTACTGGTCTTTAAAAAGTAGAAGTCAACAAACCAGTCTAACACACCACTACTGTTGGATCAAGTTTCATTCTTGTTAAGTGCTTAATAGCTCTGGCTGATTAATTGGTTTAGTTTACCAACATATCAATCTAATACCAAAATCTAAATATTTTGAATGCAATTGTATGCCTTCGTCTACAAATAATATGTATTGTTGGTCATTCTACTATAAATATGTATTGTTGGTAAATTTCTTTAGCATAAAAATGTAAAATTTTTTTATACTTTCATAGTGTTTTGTCTTTTTGTTGAGGGGGGGGGCATCACTATTCGCCCATAGGTCAGAGTGAACCTAGACACAACAGCACTTAAAACTTGCTCCTTGAAACCTCCAATCTACCGATCAGAGGCCTTGCTGCCGGATGTAGTTTAATGTCATGCCCAGTACTCTAATTGCTCTGGTTTTATGTCATACTCAGCTCAGATTTGTAAAAATGTTTTCTTATTTGGTCAAATTTTGGAAAGTGAGTCAGGCAAAAAAAATCTTCCAATACTCTCGCATATAAATGGACAATGCAAACCTTGTCCAAGCTTTTTGCCAACCAGCCAATGATTACCCCTACATGATATTATGGTTCACAATCTCAGTGTGAACTGAAAGCTAGGGAAGAGCAAGATACATGCTCAAAAAGAAACATGATAGAAGACAAACACCATGTTGAGAAATAAGAACAAACCCTGTTTCCCATATTATATGTAGGTGTTTTATCCAGGGTTTCACTTGCTTGTCTGGGTAGGTAGGTAGGTAGGTGATACCAGGAACAACTTCTGCTATGTCAGCTTTTCCCCGCTACCAACTCCTTGTCCATCTACTCATCCTGATTTGGTGGCTGGCAATACAAATGGAGGCTTCGGAATTTGATTTTCTATACTTAAAAGCTATGTTAAATGTATACATACTAAAAAGTTCCTTTTGAGTTCATTTGAAGTGGGATAAAAAGAACGTATGTATATTTCATTTAATCCTCCACTGATAAATTTCCAATACACTTGATTTTCCCCTCCTCTTAATCCTCACCTTCTACCACACTTGATGTGCACTTATTCATTTATTTATTTTTTTAAATATAGAGCTCATAAATTTATTATTTTTAAAAAATAGAAGTGTTAGGAAATCAATTGACTAAAATCACCTGAAGATACTGAAAGATTCAAATCAAGGTAGTGAAATCAGCTGATTTCCTAATTTACTATACATAAAATTCTACATGATAAATTTTTATTTTTTTTTTATATGTGTATTGAGCACTTATTTAATATTACTGTGACTATTAGCTTATTATTATTATTATTATTATATATTTGTGTGTGTGTAGAAATTTAAAAAAAAAAAAAAAAAAAAAAAAAATTAAGGATTCTAACCTCTTCTCCAATAATGCTGATCTTTGGGAAGTAATGCTGCAGAGAACCAATAATGCAACGTTGAACTGAGCGATCAGCTTCTGTCTGCAAATCATCAACACCCTGTATAAAAAGAGTTTTAAGGGAATAAGTAACAAAAATATTTTCATGTCAAATCACTATAAATCTTAAATGCTTGTAAACAAAATTAAAAAAATTCAAATTATTAATAAATTAAATATTGTACTAAAAGTTTTCTTGAGAATAAATATAAAACAATATGCAATTTTTTATTGGTCCTATTCTCCGAATCGCTCATCCAAACCACTCTTTTTGGGGATCCAATTCCAGTGTTCTTTAAGTGCCTATGGCATCCAATGATATCCCAACTTTGATGATAAACATTCACTTGAAAAGGCTCAAGAATTAAATAGGTATAATAACTGAGAATCAAGTTAATTCAAAGAAACTAATTTGACAAAGTTTCAGAGAAAATTAAAACAAAAAGGACACTTACACTTAACATTAGGAGGAGACAGTTGAAATTTCTAGGACACATAATGAGGAAAGTAGGATTGGAAAATCTGATACTCACAAGACAAATTGAAGGCAAGAGGTAAACAATGCCTAACCTACTTAGTGAGTGAGTAAATGAATGGCAAAACAAGGATTAGGAGAGATAACAAAAAAAACAAACAATTTTTATTAAGAGCTAAAAAGGACAGAAATTGTGGAGAGCTATGATTGCTTACTTCCCAAAGGGACAGAAGAAATTGCAATAAATATTACTGTTGCTTTAATTTTAGCCTTTTAATATCAGTTTTCCTTTACTTTTTTTATTTAAACATTAGCATCCACATAACTTTTCTGCATATCTGAAAACAAGATGACTGATCAATTTCTTAAGAAACCAGAAATCATTCATTCCAGCTAAGTCATTTGTGTGCTGGGCAATAGAAAAGAAAGGAAAAAAAAGTATGATGCCAGTTTTAAAAATTGCTTTTGTCTGGGCTCCTGTCAGCAACATTTTTTCATCAGTGTGTTTGTTGACAGTAGGATAATCAACGTTTTTTTTTTTTTTGCCTGAGGAGACAGGTGAAGAATAAATGTGTGCAGTCAGCAAGAAGAGTGAGAATTGGCATTGGAATTAGCTACATTCCCTGCAAGTGTTTGTCTTGGGTGCCAGTTGTTTCTTTAGTGAAAGTGTCACAAGTATTTGCTGCTAGAGTGCAGGTTCACACAAAAGAACAGGTCAGTATAAAAGTTATTATTGATCAATGTGGAATAGTATTAACCTTTTACAGCTCCAGATTATTCTTGGTCTGGCCAAGAATTTTTCAGCATTTGCTTTTTTTTTTTTTTCGATGTGTGTGCATATACATAATTTATCTAACACATTTTCTTTCATTCCTACACATATGTATACAATTAATACAAAGTCTGATCAAAAAGTATTGGAACTGGTGCTATAAAAATAAAACTACAATACATATTAATTTGGCAATTAATCTCCTTCAAAGTAGTACTCTTCTGAAGCCACCTACTTTATCCAGCATAGTTTCCATTGATGGAAGCATTCCTGGAACTCCTTTTTTGGGGTAGCGAGCAGCTGCCTCATCATGTGTTAGTGCAGATATTTATGATCTCTTAAATGTATAATGGAAGATATATTATAGTCCATGTGTGCGCTTCTACAGGATGCATAGTAGTCATCCAAGATGAGAGCTATAAATGGAATATTTCAAAATCAAGCAAGTACAGAAATTTTAAATATCTGGGAAGTGTTTTAACAGATAGTGGAAAATGTCAGACCAAAATCCAAAGGCATATTGAAATAGAAAAAGATGTATTCCAAAAACTAAAAGTATTAAGAAACGTGAAGAATACATTAGAAACAAAAAAAAAGTGATGAACTACAATGTAATATCGATCTCTTATAGATCTATGAATTCTGGACAATTTCCTCACAGATAGAGAGGAGACTTGAGGCAACAGAAATATGTTTCTACAGAATGATTCTGAGAATACCATGAACTGAACATGTAAACAACAGGTAAGTTTTAAGAAAAATGGAAACAAAAAGGAAACTTATACTTAGAACGAGAAAAGAGGGCTTGGAGAATTTGGCACTCACATGCAAGAGGGGCAGAGAGAAACATATGTAACAAGCTTGTGCAAATGAATGATTGAACAGGGAATGGGAAGGATAGTCAAAGGAGAAATATTGCTAAAGGTTAGAAAGGACAGGAAGTTGTGGAGAACCATGATCACACACAGAGTGGTGAGTGATTCTACAATATGTGAGGGGAAGACACCAAATATGAATGTGACTTATCTCTGTTCCTGGACTAATCCTTGCAAGTGTATAATCACTTCACAATTTCTCTATATACACAAGCTTTTTTTCTAGTGTAATTGAAAATTAATTCTCTATTTTATTTATGATGGACTCTCCTGTGTTGTAAAAATTATAGTTAGACAGGAGAACCCATCATACATAAAACAGCGAATTAATTTTCAGTCACTATATATATATATATATATATATATATATATATAAGCACACACACATACACACATTTGAAAATTCAGCTATAGCTAAAAATATATCTGTACAAAAACAATATGAATAAAGACAAAAGAAAAACTTATCTGAGCTAATGTATTTCGTCCTCTGATGGACTTTATCAAGGGAAATGTAAGGATTATATTTGGCAAAAAGCATTTATACACAGAAGTAAAAATGTTGTTATCTTTACAGAATTTAAAAACTTAAGAATGCTCATAAATATACTTCAGGCTAACTGAAAGTCAAGGTAAATCATGGAAGATGCTAAGTGGTTTAATTTAATGTTAGATTGAAAAAGTAAATGCGAGTTGAATTTTTTTTTTTTATAATGTAATTATTATTTATTTTAGTTTGAAAAAAAAAAAAAAAAAAAAAGTTTTGGATTTAACAATTTTCTTTTAATTTTTAAAAATATTTTATATATCAGGCTTCAGAAAAGAGTATTTCTTTTAGGAAAGGAGATATTTGTAAAAAATCCAGATCACAGATTCTAATTTTGGTAAGATTCAATAGTGGCACTCAAGAATTTTCTGTTTAAGTTACTTTCTTTTTTAGTAAGTGTGGCATTCGTGAGATTAAAATTGTGGTTGAACTTAATTAGGCTTACATAGAAATAAGCGCTTACTTGAAAAGTGTATCCCATAAAAATAGCATTTGAAGTACTTCATATATATATATATATATATATATATATATATATATATATATATATATATAGAGAGAGAGAGAGAGGAAAAACAGACATATACATACATATGAACAGTCTTAAATAGCAAAGGAGGGAAAGTGATAGAAATAGGATAAACTGAGATTATATATATATATATATATTTCTCATGTGAACACTCCGACAGATAATACAAATAAAAAAATACCTGAAAATTATAAGAATTTAACACGTTATTTTCAGGTTAGTAAAACTGCCAAAAAGTGCTAAGTAGAACAATGATATTCAATAAATCAAGAAAAGGCTCACTAGAGATGTCACTTGTCTTTTTTTTGTTATTTGGTTTTGTTTAGCAGAAAAGCAAACTATGGGTTACTTAATGCAAAATATTTTGAACACAATTGTATGCCTTCAAATACAGATAAAATGTATTGCTGGTATTTTTACAATAAAAATTTATCTTTATATTTTCATGAAGTTTTTGTTTGGTGAGTGAACTATTTGCCCATAGCTGGGTCCCTAACAGGTGCTAACCACCCTGAGTTAGGGTGGACCTGGAAAAAAACAGAAATTAAGAGGTGGTTTCAGGCTCCTCAAAACCTCCAATCTCCCAATCAGTGGTCTAGCTGCCAGATGCAGTTTATATATATATATATATATCTTGACTTTTTGAATATATGAGCTTCTCTATCTTTGTGCTTATCCACTTACCTTTCTGTCTGTATGTTAATATATTTTTCCTTTTATCTATATACCTACATACATACATGCACATCTATACTTACTTTTCTATATCTGTCAATGTTTACATTGAATGCACAAGGCAGGAAAGAATGAGAGAGAAATAACAAAAGGTTGAATGACATCTGCAGATGTTGGATGTTAATTAAAAAGCACTCTGGTGCTTTCATTCAATCAATTCTCCAGAACCAAAATAAATTGGAATTGTCAGTACAGAACTATCCTAGTCCTCCACTTTGTGAATAAAAGAATGATATTGCCTGTTCTTGTAAACAGGTCAGCAACCATTGAAAAGAGTCTGGACAAAACCGAAAATGGGAAAAAAAAAAAAAACCCACTCAAGCCAAACCAACTGCTTGTTTTCTCCAAAGGTTTTCTTTGTGTTTGCATATTAGATTCTAATTTTTCTTCATTTAACTGTATTCTTTAAGAATTTATTTCTATCATCTGATGACTTCTATGGTTAATAACTTCCTCTCTTCATAGCATTTCTTTACCTACCATTTCTTCCTGTTTTATTCTTTCTTAAAAATAATTACCTTCCTTCATCTAATTTTCTTATCCTTTCTCTCTTCTCCTCCTTCCTCATACTTTACCATTCTTTTTCCTCTTCTTTCTCTTAACATTTTAACCTTGCTTACTTTCTTAAATTTTATTCTCACTTATTTTAGTCTCTACATATCCTCTATTTTTTAACTAAATCCGTCTTTTGTTATATTCATTATTTACATGCAGACTATTTATTGTCCACATGTTTCGGGTGTTGTGCCCTCCAGCCTTCATCAGGTGCCTGCATCTGTTAACAGCATGCATCTGTAGATTTTGTCTATAAATTTGGGGAGGGAGATGTTTTTTTTCAATCATTCCTATCAAAATTGGAAGCAAAAGTAAGATTTTAACAATTTTAATTTTTTTTGCCTACTTTTTCAATTAAGATATTCAAAATTACTTTAAAAAAAAAAAAAAAATAAAAATACTGTTAATTTTAAATATAATATGAAATTGTCATGAGGACATAAACAATCTTTAACAAATATTACTGATTATGAAAAGAAAACTATGTAACTGTAACAATTATTACAATAAAGAAATAGTACCACTCCCCCATTTCTATCTTCTTTCTCTTAACTATTCTGTTAAAACAAC